GAGGGAGACATTTCTAATTACTGTTTCTTTTATTCTAAGTCACAGAAAAAGAAACTAACAAATGATGTCCTTCTAGAAGAGTGAAGGCCTCCTGGCAATGTTCTCTTTAATCCATGATGTGTGTTAAAAGGAGTTTTGACTGATTATGAAGCAATGTATGAACCACTAAACTTTCTCACCTACATTGGGCCTTCATCTTCTATCTGTTAAAGTACAAGTTTATTCACATATAAGGCTGGCTGCAAAACCATTCACAAATAAAAGTATACCCTGTAAGTTTACATAATAGACCTCTTTTTCATTTCTATTGTTCATAGAGGCATAAACACAGAAAAAGTATTCAAAGACAAGAGTCTCGTGATTGTAGAAGTCTTGATCCGTGATCTTGGGAAAAGCTGTTCACATCAGGGATGCCATCTTCTTCTGGGGAGAAAGTTTCCTGGTTGGTTTTACCTTAAGGGTTCCAATGGATATACAGTTCCAGGAGTGTGGCGGAACCCTTCTCAGCTGTGAGATTATGGACCCAAGGTTCAAGGCTCCAGTTTTGCTGTAGTGTGGATGTCAAGGACAGTCTTTCTCTGATAGTCTCAGAATATCCCATCTTCAGTTCTAGATTGTGAAGGGATTGTCCTCAGTGAACCATCAAAAGCTTTCGTTACCTAGTGAAAATACACTGTAGCATAATAATCTACTGTTGTAACATCAGCCCTCTTGCATGGGAAGGCTTTTATACAACGAGAAAACATGCATTGAAAATGACAGTTGAATGAAATCCCTTTAGAAATGTTTATATGGCCCATCAAGTAGCCAAATGTACCTGAAGCTTTGATTGTCTTCCCAGGAATATGGAACCAAACATTGGTTTTAAGCTATTTCTGCAATTTACAAGTCATCACATCAATATATTCAATTTGGGTTATTTTATCTCTTCCATGATGAGTCATGGAATGCAGAGCCTTTAATAACAAAAGCTTTAAGGACTCAGGAAGGACAAGGCAGCTGTCCTGTTTCTTCATGAGTCCATGCTTAACAATGGACTTATGTCCTCTTGAATACCAGTTGTTTCTCCAATTTGGGTACATAGCACTGATAACTAATGGGTTATCATAGGTAATTTGACTTAGACCATGGAGTTCATTCAAATTGTATATTTAAACAATTTTAGTATTGACTGATTTAGCATGATAGTCTAGAGCTTGATTTTGAAAGGTTAAATACCACAGGTTTAAAACGTTGGCTATTATAAAATAGAATCTTAGGTTACCATAAGTCATTCATTTAGCCAAAAAGATAACTGAAAACTTTTTTCAAAGGAAAAGCGTCATTCTGATAGAGAAGAGACTCAGCTTCCCAAACAAGACCCAATGAAGATTGCATGGGGCTAACTGATTCTCTCTTCTTTCCTTCCCTTCCCTGCTTTGTCCTTTGTAGTTTACTTAAAAGGTAAACAAAAAACTTTCATCTTTTAATATTACACAAAAATCCTTTTTAAAAGAGAAAATCCAAATTTTATGTTTTCATTAGTGTATTTTTAATGTTAAAGCTAGTTTTTAATAACATCTATTCAGTTTTAACTAATTTGACCATAAAGTAGGATTTTTGTAAGCCTTTTATAACACTTTACAATTTTTTTTTTTTTCTCAGAGCAGAACAATGTTCTAACAAAATTCTATTGTGTTTTTATTCCAATGTCCAATTTATGGAAAAAACTGAAAAATGCCATTTTAACTTTAGCCAATTTGTTCACACATAGAATCTCTTACAATCAATTTTTCATAAACTTTCCACAACTTGTTCAAACCTTTAGCTTTATTTAATTTAAAACAATCCTTTAACCTTCTAACCTAGGCAAAAATTTACATTCTCATACCTTCATATAATCTCTTACAAAAAACACATTTCATTCTCCTTACACACCCTGAATCTAAACCTATTTTTTCAGCAGTCTCAATTACATATTACAATGTTAACTCTTAGCAACTTTTACTTTTGGTGAAAACTTTGGTGAGTAAGGGATTTCAATTACGTAGTAGGTGTGAAGCCTAGGACCCAGACAGAAATGCAGATAAGGCCTGACTCTTTCCAACATCTAACTCCATGTGTCTCAGGCCTTACCAAGCTGTAAAACATGCAAGGCAAGCTGTCCAGTTAAGAGTCATAGTGGCATTTTATGAAGCATTTAGGAGGCCTAATCAGCTTTAAATTGTACGACGTTTCTGGCATAAATTCTTTCACGACTTACGCAGACCATGTACAACATATTTAGACTTTCTGACGTGCCCTAAACATTTCTGGCATAAATGCTTTTTTATAAATTCTTTCATGACTTACACAGACCATGTACAACATATTTAGACTTTCTGACTTGCCCTAAATATCCCTCTTTTTAAACAACCAGTCATTTTACTTCAGGACAAGAATTTACCATACGACATCCTTTCTTATATAAAATCTCTTTTCTTTATAACCTTCTTTGCATAGCTAAGGGGCATGGTTAATTCCATAAATCCCCAGGCCTTATTTAGAATATAACATCTCCAAAATAAATTGAACAATTTTCAAAAGTCAAAGTAGCTTATGACCTTAAAGCATTTAGCAAACCTAATATCCAACCTGCATAGTTTAGACAAAATGTCTTTATTTTATTTATTTATTTATTTATTTATTTATTTATTTATTTATTTATTTTTGAGATGGAGTCTCTCTCTGTCGCCCAGGCTAGAGTGCAGGGGCATGATCTCGGCTCATTGCAAACCCCGTCTCCTGGGTTCACACCATTCTCCCTCCTCAGCCTCCCAAGTAGCTGGGACTACAGGCGCCTGCCACCATGCCTGGCTAATTTTTTGTATTTTTAGTAGAGATGGGGTTTCACCGTGTTAGCCAGGATGGTCTCCATCTCCTGACCTTGTGATCTACCCGCCTCGGCCTCCCAAAGTGCTGGGAGTACAGGCATGAGCCACTGCGCCAGGGCAAAATGTCTTTATTTTATCAATAATCTTTAAAGCTGTTTTTATTTCTCAAAGATTACTAAAATCACATGAACTAAAAGGCATTACAGTTTTTATTTTGCTTTCAAAATGTTTGATTTAAGTGCTTGTTTTTGCTTAAGCCAATTAATTAGGGCTCTTTTATATAAACATTACACATAACACATGTATAATTACACAGACAGACAGAGAGAAGAAGATTACTACAGTAGTTGTAAGATTTTTCATTTGCCAGTTTTTAAGTTTCTTAATTGCTTACTGGCTTTATGGTGGAGTCCTTGGAAGAACAGGGCCATGAAAGGGGTCTCTGGTGCCTCCTGTTTTTCCCAAGGAGCCCAGGCTTTTAGAGCTTAAATATCCACTTTTAAGTAAGCCGACTTTTAACCACAGTATTCTTTAATAAAGTCTTTTAAAATTTCTTATTACCTTATTTTAGCCAGGCCAAATGGCTGATATTTCTGGCTTTTGAACTTTACCAAAAGTAACCTCCCAGGTGCTCAGAGAAAGGAAAATTTAAGATAGCCCGTGGAGGAGCAGAGACTATACAAGGTCATGTAGATATTTAACCAGAAAGAACTTACTTTCTAAGTAGGGAATCGAATCTGACTGCCAGTGTGAAAGGGCACTACCTTAGCTACCGAGCTACAGCACAGGGCACATCACAATAGCTTAGCACACTGTAACGTATATCTGGTTGAAGGAAGTCACAGACTTGTTATGAAATTGATGTAGAGGGCTGGGACTGTCTGTATTTGAGGTAGAGTTAGAAAATGTGGGTCCAAATGACAAATAAGAGATTGAAATAAAAGGAGGAAATAATCGATTCTGGATTTGAAAATACTGATTGATTTGTCACATGATGGGTATGTGTGTGTATTTGTAAAGAAAGGAACTTTTATCTGAGGAATGTGAGTCCTTTTAAGTTATCAGGCCTAGAGAGACATTAAAAAGAGACAGCAAACATGGCCCTACTTCCTCCTTGAGCTACATATTCATCTCTTGAAGCTGCTTGCTATTGCCACATGTAGCTAGACATTAACCAAATAATGCCACATTTGACACTATAACCCGCCCCCTATAGCTTAACAATGTATAGCCAATCACTAATCATTTCTGTAAACCAATGAGAATTCCTGATAACAACTTTGTATTAGCCCACTCCTTGTCCCCTTTTTTGACTTAAAAAACCCATTTGTAACTGCTGCTAATTACAGTTTATGTTTAGGGTGACTTGCCTCTGTGTTCCCAGGTTGCGATCCTCAAGCTTGACCCAAATGAATTTTCTATTTATATTAATTTTGCCTCAACTTCTTCATTTTAGGTCGATGTGTATGTGTGTTTGTGTATAGAACATGTTCCAAAAGGCTTTGAACAATTTAAGCGTCACTAACTTCAGAAAAATGTGTTATAAATTCACTCCCAAGAACCTTGAAGTTTTAATTATATACATTTATTTTATACTTGTTTTAGTTTTGTAGATGTTAAATAATGAATTATTAGTTAAACAATGTTCCAGAGAGTTAAAAAACCAATGACTGACAAAAATCATCAGTTTACAGGATAGCAGATTAAACAACAACAGCTTGCTAAAACGCCAAAATTGTCTCTGCTTGTGAGATTAAAAAACTGGCTAAAATGGATTAAAACTAATAAGGCCAACTGGAGTTGGCACAGAACAAGCTTGCTGAAGTCACAGATCAAATTTCTACCATGTTTCAAACTAACTCCCCCAAAATGTGCACATGTGATCCATGAGGTAGCGTTAAACAAAACTGTGCATGCCTGAGGATGTCCCAGACCTATTTCCTGCCATCGATCACCTACTAATCCCAGAGGCCACCCACTAGACCTTTTCTAATAAAATGACTGCATGAAAGCCAGCACACGGGACAGATTTGAGCTGGACTCCTAGCTCCTTGTTGGTTAATTTACAATAAAAATCTTTTCTCAAAAACCCAAATTGGGCAGTGAGCTTCTTTTCCTTGATGACATTAGTTTTAATCATTTGAGACAGTCCCTCTGATTGGAAATAGTAAAGGTTGACTTCGAAACAAAATATGTAATGTTCAACATTCACAAAATGAAGTAAGTATAAAGGATATGTAAGTTTCATATCTGGGTTAATGTAAGGCAAAAACATTCTGTAGATAAGACGGATTTGAGGACATATGTGATCCTGAGAGTAGCAAAGCCTGGGTACAACAAATATTCCAGGCAGTATTTCAGGCTTTCAAGGCAGTGTAGTTGGTGGGATCCAAGTTAAGGGCTCCAAACAGTAAAGGGGGACTCAGATAATACCTGGTTTACTGTTAGAACCAATGGAAAATTCCACTAAGGTAAGTATATGACATGAAGAAAGGATGGAGTTGGGAAATGGAGTGGCAGGGTAGGACAGAGGGACCTAGAGGGCCCAGGAGGGGTGGAGTCAGCTGGGCTGGTAAAAGGCAGGGCTGTGGACACACTTTTCTCTTGTTGCTACCCCCACCCTCAGAAACCCTCTGTGACTCTTCCATGCTCTGTGATGCAGGCCTGGGCCTATCGTTGAGACTGGGCATCCACAACACTCAGTTACCTTCGGAAGTCATGCTATTCAAAGCATGGAGAATATCCTCTGTTTTCTAAACAGCTATACTGACACAGGGCTGAGCCCTGACTCACCTTGCTTGGATGGATATTGACCACAACTGCATCTACTTGAGTGGGTTGGGGTTGTTTATGCTGTACTTTTTCTATGTGGTATCGATGCTGTGTTTGTCAACCCGTGGGAAAAATCATGACATCCAAAAGGTAAGGAACTGTGGGTGAACACCCAAGAGAGATGCCCTGTTGTTGTTTCCCAATCCTATTCCCACATTTTTAAATAAGTTTGGTTGGTTCAGAGAGGTCTTAGATGGGAAGTCTGAAGAGAGGATAGAACTTCACTCTTCTATGGAAGAGGTTGGGCAGACTTAGGGGTTCAGGTGGACTAAAGTTTCCATCTGTAGCTCATAGACTACCTGTCTGGCTGTGGTGGAGAGTTCCAGGATAAAATCCCAAACACTGTAATTCTGTGGTCCCAGATGGGATTATTTAGAAAATGTGGGCTCTCTGAAAGAGAACAGTTTCTCCTAAAGTTTGATCATGAGTCACATTCCCATGTCACCTGTCACTTGACCAAATTTTCCTTCGTGTTGGGCTGATCAGGGGAGTAATGCTGAGAGTCTCTGAGCAGAGGCTGCAGCCAGAGCTCTGTCTCTGGGACACTTGTCCTGTGAGGGAGCACAGATGTGACTGTTGGCCTCTGGGTCTGTGCCCTCCTTGAGGATTGCTAACTGAGCACATCAAGTGTGGCTCTCATAGACAAAATCCTCTTGAGTTTTTCACAGAAGGAAAAATTAGAAATTTTATCACCTTCAAAAATTGATAACAGGAACACTTTTCTATTGATTACAGAGTCATGTTATTCTTGTATAATGAATGAATGTGCTTCCTAGAGGAGTGAGAGAAGTGAGTCCCAGCCTGTCATTATCTTTCTTTTTTCTCAGCATCAAGGAGAGCCAGGAGGAGAAGGAAAGGTGGGACATTTAAAGGTAATGCCAGGCTGCTCTATCTGAGCTTCAAGGGTGACTCTTCCTGTCTCCTTCATGATGAGTCAGTCCCATGATTTCTTAGAATGTCAGTTACTAGACAGTCTTAGAAAACAGAGCCCTCAGAAGACAGGCTCATGGGAAAGCAATCAGACCTGAGACAATGCTCACAGGCCCTGCTCTGCCCCTTCATGGGCATGATGGAGTGATGGACCTGAGTAATGAGTATTGCCCAATAGGTGGCCAAGTTAGATATCGAGGAAGGACTACTGGTTGGCTTGGAGTCAGAGTTTCTGTCTCACACTTTGCATAAGTACTTTGACTTCCTTAATGCTCGGATTCCTCCTGGAGGTAACCACTGATGTCTGTGTTTCACATGGTGGTTTTGAGCATCACGTGGGGTAATGTATATGAAAGGACTTTACTAATGATGCCCACTGAACCTGTGAATATTATCAATGACTATTTGCCCTTTTGTACTGATTCTTGGAGCTATCAGAGTTTAAAATCCCAAGGGTCTTCCACAGAGCGACTTCTGTATGAGCCCTGTGCCTCTACCTTCATTGCATATAACATACTGTTTTCCCAGACCAGAAAAGTTTCCAGAGGGAAGCAGAAGAGGAAAGGAAGCTGCTTTCTATTCTGAAAAGGTGATTAATCGTTCCCCTTCTGTCCTGTTCCCCCACCCTCCTTTTTTTTCTTTTTGCATGTTCTACTCACTTCAGGGATTCCTCGTAGCCTGCTGTAGCTGTGCAAGTGGGTCCCCACAGGAATGGGTATGTGAATTGAATGCATTGGGGAGAGGCTACAGAATACATAGCGAGGTCATGGGCGGGGGGCAATGTGAAGCTGGTAGCAGGATTCAGGGGGCTCCACCCCTGCCAGGCTAACAGACCCTCCTTTCCTTGTTCTGATTCTGGCTGCAGCTTTGGACCTCCTGCTTCCTGCAGTCCCCTGGACCAGCATCATGATACCATCCGCTTTCGTCGACTGTTATGCCCAGATCCTGTCTGTCAGGTGTGTAACAGAGCAACTGCTGATATCCAGCGACTGCTGTCTTGGGAGTCCCTGAAAGCTGCTGCTCCCTCTGTGTCCCCTTTGGCTTCTGCAGCTTCTGTGACTGAGTCATCGTTCACTCTGTCTTCTGCCCCCTCAGCAATTCCTCCAGAAGACCTAATATTGTCTCCTCAGCCTAAGCCCTCTCTACCATCCTCTTTAATTCTCTCACATGACCCGATCACCCTCTTAGCTGACTTATTTTCACCCTCACCTCTGAGGCACCCTCTGCCACCACAGCCTGTTTCTCCCCTGGATTCCAAGTTCCTCTTGGACCATTCCCCACCCCAACAGCTTCCCTCTCCCCTTCTCCCACCACATCACATTCAGAGAGTGGAGCCCAATCTTCATCCTGTGGCCAGTTTGTCTCTGAACACCATCTTTTCATTTGGCTCCACCCTATCCCAAGATATGAACCCCTTACCAAATGTTTCCCAGGCCATGAATCCAACTGATTCATGTGCTTGTCATCATGAACCAACAACCCCAACTGCTTTACCACTGCAGGACAGCACTGCAACTCAGTCTAAAGCAAGTCCCACAATATTGAAGCCTTTTCCAGAGACATTATCTCTAGGTAGCTCTGGTGGGACAGAATATGCCTCAACAATCAGAGGCATTGACCATTCATGCCCTGCATCTTCAGAATTCTACTGCTGGCAGCCTCATGGCAAGGACTTGTTTCCCTCCACTACTGCACCATCTGATTTCGTACAAGAGCTTCTTACCCTTCACTATTCTGATGCCACTATAGGGGGGCACTCTGTGGCCAACCTCATACAGCCTATTAACCTATCATTTCTCAGCCATGACATTCTGGAACTCCTGGAGAGACAAGTCAAAAAAAGGGGTGATTTCCTGATGTGGAAAGAAAATGAAAACAAAGCAGGATCTTTTCCAAAACCCTGTAGACCAAACTGTCAACTAAATTCTTCATGGAAAATGTTAGCCTCAATTGCAGATAAGCAAGACTTGGCAGCCTCACTTCCTTTTTGGGCCAGTAAAGACAAACTAGAACAGCTGCACATCCACCAGCAGCCCCCATGTTCTAAGTGTGTTGAGGACCATTTAGAGCAAAAATATGTGCAGCTCTTCTGGGGTCTCCCACTTCTGCACAGTAAGTCTCTGCACCCTACTGTTCTTGTCCAACATGGTCATTACTCCATGTTTGTATTCTTCAATGGCATTACAAATACATCTATATCCCAAGAATCTCCAGTACTTTCCCCTCCCCAACCTCTATCCTTGCCTAGTACCCAACTTCTACCCTTGCCTCAAACCCTACCCCAAGGTCAGTCCCCACATCACACTCAGGTCCAGTCCAGGGCTCAACGTCAATCTCCACTCCCAGCCCTACTACCTAGTCCTCTATTCCTGATTAGGATCTGTGGAGTGTGTTTTCATAGACCCCAGAATGAGGCACAGTCTCTTATGCCATCTGAAATTAGCCATCTGGAGTGGAATGTGTTGCAGAAAGTGAAGGAAGGTGTGTGGGGTTTACCCTCTTTGGTTAAAAAATCCCAGGAAGACATTTGTCCTACAGCTCCCAGTCTTGCATTGTTCAGCCAGCCCTTTAAGGCCCATGTTCCCATATCCATTATTCCTGGATATTTTCCATTCAGCTGTGAGCTAAGGAAGAAACCAGAGCACCAACTTCGAAAAAGACTCATCCAGAGCAATTGGGGCCTGCCTCGCATAATTCATGAGTCTCTGTCAATGCTGCATCCTCAGAAAAAAATTTTGGAGATATTTGAGTTAGAGAACAATCATGGACCCTTACATAGCTCTTTGGTTGAGAGTCAGGGCTGCAATGTTCTAAAGAAATTAGGATCAAGCATCCCTAGAACCTTCCACGAGAGGAGCTCAAATATGCTTTCCCTGGAGAATGTGGGGGAATTATCGGGGATACAGACAGGAGAATGGCCCAAAAGATCATCTGTTGCATGATCCAGAGAATCTTCAGATGAGGATCTGAAGTCTAACTCTGAGAGAGACCTGGACACTCATATGATGCATCTGTCAGGGAATCATTCAGGGGAGAGCCTAGGTCAGAAACAACTTGAAAATGCCCTGACAGTACATTTGAGCAAGAAATTTGAGGAAATCAATGAGGGTCGAATGCCTGGGACTGTGCATAGTTCATGGCATTCAGTCAAGCAGACAATGTCTCTTGCTGAGGAATCCCACAGCCAAATAAAACATCAAAATATGGCAGCATTGCTGGGTGAGGACCACCGTGTTGATACTTCCCAGGAGATTTTATTCCTTAGTTCCAACAATCAAAAGATGTTGGAAGCCCATATTAAATCTTTCCATATGAGGATTCTGTGGGGCCTTCCCCGCAAAGTCCATGAATCCATAGAAATCTTTAACTTTGAAAGGGGACCTTTCCAATTCCTTTTCCCATTTCGACCTTCCCTCCTCAGTCTCCTCCATTTCTGGTCTAGCCAAAAATGGGGTCTCCAATCCCCCTTAGAAGAAGGTTTTCAAGGAGAAAAGTTGGGAACAACAAGCTCAGTTCCGGTCCTGGATTGTCCTCACCCTGTCACCTCACCTGTCGGCAAAGAAAGCAGAGGACCCTGAGAAGACAATTTTCTGATACTGACCATGACCTTACGGAGACAGATTCCAAAGATGGGGCCTCCACACCCCTTAGAAGAAGCACTACAGATTTTCAGGGAGAAAAGTTAGAAATAAGCAGCTCATTCCCCATCCTGGGTCATCCTCACTGCATCATCTCACCTGTCGACAAAGAAAGGCAGGGAGCCCTGAGAAGAGAATTCTCTGATACTGACCATGAGCTTACAGAAAGTCCAGACAGTTGAGGATGGCAGACAGACTTTTCTGCCCCCACCACACAGCATCATAGGCAAAGTCAGTCAGAAACAGACTGTACTAGCCAGTACCTGCAGCCAAAAGCTGACAATAATGCAAGCTAGGGCTCGCTGTAAGTGAAGGCTTACGAGAGAGAGTTCCAGTAATAATGTAGAAAGGCTTCAGGGCAGTAGAAAGACATTTTCTGTCACCAATGGGTCTAAAGAAATGTTCAAGGCAGAGGAGCTCTGTGCTCTTCAAACACCATCTAAAACTACTTGATAACCAGCAAGTCAGGAAGCTGCTCAGTGATAAATACATAATAAGCACTTCTACAACTGAAAGTTTCCCACCAAGAATATCAGTTTCCCGAGATCCTATGTCATCATACCTTAAAATCAGATGTTGAGTGAGTTAAAGTTTAAATTGGCCCAGAGGGAGCATAGCCAAGTTCAAAGCCATTTCACTGACATGTCCCTTGCGTTAGATAACTTGGTTTCCAAGGACTTACTGACTCATGCTCAGGGCATCTACAGTGAGCACATGTCAACTTTCCAGGTGGTGCATGTCCACTTGGAGGACACAGGGATACGTGAGGAACAGTAGCAGGAGCCCACGGTCCCTAAGCATGTCTTACAGAATGTCCAGATAAGAATTTCCCATGAGTGGCTGGGCGCAGTGACTCATGCCTGTAATTCCAGCATTTTGAGAGGCTGAAGCGTGTGAATCACGAGGTCAGGAGTTTGAGACCGGCCTGGCCAGCATGGTGAAACCCCCTCTGTACTAAAAATACGAAAAAAATTAGCCAGGCATGGTGGCGCATGCCTGTAGTCCCAGCTACTCCAGAAGCTGAGGCAGGAGAATTGCTTGAACCCAGCAGGTGGAGGTTTCCGTGAGCTGAGATCACGCCACTGCACTCCAGCCTGGGTGACAGAGTGAGACTCTGCCTCAAAAAAAAAAAAAAAAAAAAAGAAAAAAAAGAAAAAAAAGAAAAAAAAAAGAATTTCCCACAAACACTACAAAGACAGTGAGCCTGCCAAGACCCAAAGGAGGAGAGCTTGGTGGACAGGATGCTGGACTGGGGACATCCCAACCGAGGAGAAAGGGCCATCCTGTTCAAAGCAAGACATCAGAGGAGGTGCTTGGGAGCAAATCTTCCCCAACCTTGAAAACACAGCCTCCTCCTGAAAACCTTTTCAGAAAATGGATGAAGACCTTTTTGCAGCAGTTTAATAATCCCAGCATAACAGATGAAGAACAAGAAAGTTCCTGGGAAAAGGGTACCTCCCTGTCGTCATCTGCAGAATAGAGGTCAAATTAAAAGTAGAGCTGCCTTTACTGGGACTACTGAAGCTCAGAAAATTAGGAAAGACACTGGGAAGTTCCCAGAGGAGAAGCTGGGGCATAGGCATGGGATAGATATCACCTGTCCCCAAGAGCCCCTTGTCTTCCCAGTGGAGCTTGGGAAAGCTCAGCACAACCTAGAAGTGCAGGTCAGAGCAGCGCCTGTACAGGGCTATCCCTGTAACTACATGGTTCCCTCCTGCAAACTGACATGTACAAAATCATACAGCCAAGAAGCTATCTTTGTTGGCCAGAATTATCCTACAATGATTAGACAGATCATAGACAAGGACAGACAGCCCCAGAAAGTTGAGGCATTTAGGGGGAAGATATTGTGTCAAAGGCATCCCCAATCCATGCCCCACAGGAAGCCTATGCCACATCCAAACCCCACTTGCCAGCATCAGGTCAGCCTGGTGTGTCCAGCCATCCCGACCAGTGCTAAAAGCACTGTGTTCAGTGATGTGCCTTTACTAACTGGACAGAAAATGCTTCCAAAGCATTTCCAGGGAGGAAAATTTTCCCCCACAATAATTCACTTCTTGTTGAGAATCTTGATTCTCCCCAATAAATATTCTAATAAGAATAATATTTTCTCTGTGTATTGTGTTGGGGGGTATAGGTTTTGGGTAACACAAGCTTGTGGTTAGGGAAAGGTAGGAGTTAGCTCAGTTCTTGCTGACAGCCTCCTTTGACTTCTTTTTTTTTTTTTTGAGATGGAGTCTTGCTTGTCCACCAGGCTAGAGTGCAGTGGCACAATTTCCGCTCATTGCAAGCTCCGCCTCCTTCATGTCATTCTTCTGCCTCAGCCTCCTGAGTAGCTGGGACTACAGGCGCCCGCCACCACGCCCGGCTAATTTTTTGTATTTTTAGTAGAGACGGGGTTTCACCATGCTAGCCAGGATGGTCTCAATACCCTGACCTCGTGATCTGCCCGCCTCGGCCTCCCAAAGTGCTGGGATTACAGGTGTGAGTCACTGCACCCGGCCTCCTTTGACTTCTAAAAGGTGACCAATACCTTGGAGCTCTTGTGGAGGAATAAGTATCATGTGCCTCCAAAAGCCCCTTCTCTCCCTGATGAAGTCTGAGGAGATGAGCTCTTTTCTACCTCTTTGCTTGAGACTTACTGATACTGTATGGCAGCCTGCACCTTCCTCCCTATTCACTGCTTCATCTCTTTTAGAGCAATAAGGAAGACAGGCCTTCCATATCTGAAGAGAGGGTCAAGGACAGGTAAAATTTTCAGAAATAGTGGTTTAATCACGATTTTTAAAAAGTTGTCATACAAGTTGGTGGGAGTGTTTGGGGTATTGCTGGTTGGGGTAGGGTATCAGGAACACTGTGAATGCTGCTTAAGAATTTGACAAGCAGGGCATCCTCATGATTTGGGGAAGCATATTTTGACCTCGATATTGAGATTTTTTTACTACAAAGTCACTTTTGGGAAGTAGTTCCCCTCACTGTGTATATCTCCAGGCTGCCTGGATTGATGACATTTTTAATGGGCAAAAAGATCACTTAGGTGTCTGTGGCAGGAATGTTGATCGGGCAACCACCTAGGTAAAGTATAGCTGAGAGTAAGGAAAAGATGCTTTAGAATGAATGAGAAAGTAAGAAAAAAAACTAGGAAAGGATGAGGCTGCTGGTGCAAAAAGGTTTATGCCCTTCATGCCCATATCACGACCCTTTCTCAATCTGGACCTAGGCACCACCCCCTTGAGGATTACCATGGTGCTGCAGAGCTCACAGATGCCATTTTGGCAGAAGTGTACATGGGGCTGTTCATTATGGACTAAAACATTATCTTTTTTCTTTTTTTTTTTTTGAGTCGGAGTCTTGCTCTATCACCCAGGCTGGAGTGCAGTGGTGCAATCTCGGCTCACTGCAAGCTCCACCTCCGGGTTCACACCATTCTCCTGCCTCAGCCTCCCGAGTAGATGGAACTACAGGCACCCGCCACCACACCCGGCTAATTTTTTTGTATTTTTAGTAGAGACAGGGTTTCACCGTGTTAGCCAGGATGGTCTGGATCTCCTGACCTCGTGATCTGCCTGCCTCGACCTCCCAAAGTCCCGGGGTACAGGCGTGAGCCACCATGCCTGGCCAAAAATGAGATTTGTTTTCTAGAGGGCACTTGAGTAGGTTTTCCAGAAAAATTTATGAATGCTTAGTGTCAAAACATAAGCAAAACAAAACAAATCAAAACGGATGTCCACTACAGTTCCCTCACTCAACCATCCTTCTCTGTACCTGTCCATGCTTATGCTGCTGACCCTGAAGTGTCTGAAGCTTGGGATTGCAGCAATAATTCAGATTTCAAGAAGACTTTAAGAAGGACAAAACTGGGATGAAACCAAGGGCAAAGAACTTGTGGAGGTGGAGAATCAGTCACCTGTGGATGCTGGGGGGATTCTCCATGTTCTTTTCGGTAAGCCTATCCTCTAAGTCTTGCAAGGCTGGAAGCTATGCTAATTGTTTTAAAATGGCTGAAGGGGGCCCAGTATTTGGTTTGATTTGGTTCTAAAATGAAGGTCAAGAGCCTTGAAATGAAAGGACAGAGTTGGAGTCTGCTCCTCTACTCACCATGTCGATGAAGGTTGTACCTTGGTATCAGACATGAGCCCCCAGTTTGAAGGGGCTACATTATCTGGGGTATATGCCCTGGCGTTCATCATCCTGTGCCAGGAAAATTTAGAACACAGACACACATGGGGAGTTTAGGAGCAGAGGTTTAATAGGCAGAAGATAAGAGAAAGAGAAACAGTTCTCTCTATAGACCAAGAAGAGTCTCCAAGTGGAAAAGACTGGCTGGCAGCGAATGCACCAAATTTTATAGTCAGGTTTGAGGAGGCAGTGTCTGGTTTCCACAGGGCTCACAGATTGGTTCAATCAGGTATGATGTTTACATAGTGTACGAGCAAGGCTTGTTGCCCCAACCTAATCTTATTATGCAAATCGGCTTTCCAGTTGATTGGTGCCATCTTGTCTGCTCCTTACTGTACATGTGGCTGACAGAGAAAAGAAGATGGAGCCACCATCTTGAACATGTCTAGTCCGCTAGTTCCTGCCAGCATTCATCTGTGCAAGCTCCAAGCTTGCTTGTCTATGTCTGTAGCTTGAATTTATAGGCTGCTCTTTGTTAGAAAATGATTTGGGGCTGCTTCTCTTTAAAAAGAAAAGATTTACTGAGGACTCCCATACCCTTATTATTTGCCTAGGTAATTTCTTCTTAACTCCTGTATCAGCAACATTATAGCCCCAAAGTGAAAACAATTCAAATGTTCACCAACTAAATCAATGGATAAACAAAATGTGATATATCCATACAATGGGGTGTCATTTGTCCATAGAAAGAAAAATGAAGTATTAATACATGCTACAACATGAATGGACCTTGAAAACATCACGGTGAGAAGCCAGACACAAAAATCCACATATTGTATGATTCCATTTAGAAGAAATGTCTAGAAATGAAAAATAGATAGAGACAGAGAGTAGATTACTGGTAACATAGGGAGGAATGCAAATATTGAAGGGTGAAGGCTAAGTGAAGCAGTTTATTTCTGGGGTGATGAAAATGTTCTAAAATTGATTGTGGTGATGCATGCACAACACTGTGAATATGCTCAAAGCTGTTGAGTGGTATACTTTCGGTGAGTGAATTATATAGTAAACAAATTATGTTTCAATAAAAACTTTTTTAAAAAGAAAGTTTGTATAGCAGCTTTATTCATAATTGTCCAAATTAGAAGCAACAGAAATGTCTTTCAGTAGGTAAACTTTTTTTGTATATCCAAAAATGGAACATCATATGCCATTGAAAAGAAATAAACTGGCAAAACACAAAAAAGGAGGAAACCTAAATGTGTATTATTAAGTGAAAGAATACAATCTGAAAAGGCTGTATGATTCTAACTGTATGACATTCGAAAATGGGCAAAACTATGAAGGCAGTAAAAACGGCAATGGTTGTCAGGGGCTAGTGAGGAGGGAGGGATGAAAAAAGAGCACAGAGGATTTTTAGGGCAGTGAACTATTCTATATGATAGTACAATGGTGGATATGTGTCATTATACATTTGTCAAAACCCACAGAATGTGCAACATCAAGAGTGACTGTTAATGTAAACTATGGACTTTGGGTAATAGTGATGTGTAATTGTACGTTCATCAATTGTAACAAATGTACCACTCTAGTATGGGATGTTGACAGTTGGGGAGGCTGTGCCTGTGTGGGGATAGACGGTATGTAGGAAGTTTCCCACTTACTTTTCCTGTTGACATAAAACCTCTGTAAAAAATAAAAGTCAATTAAAAAGAAGAAGAGGAGGAGGAGGAGGAGGTTGTTAATATCTCACAAGGCCCAACATCAGAGAGTTGGCATCAACTCTCTGAAGTATTCCCTGAACTCTGCTTTCCCTTCCTCCTGGCAGAAGAATTTTACTTCTTTATCTATCTTCCCCTTGTGTATTATCTCTGCTTGTTCTACAGCTTTTTGTAGCATATTTTATTATATTTGTTTGCAGGTCTCACTTCCTGGACTATGACCTGTCCAAGGGCAGAGGCAATATCTTCTTTTACTGATATTTTTACAGTAGTAGGAATACTATATAGTAAAGTTCAATAAATATTTGTTGTCTGAATGTATGAAGAACATCTTATAACTACTGTTGTATTATTTTTATTTTTTTTTAGACAGAGTCTCACTCTGTTGCCCAGGCTGGAATATAGTGGTGTTATCTCATCTCACTATAACCTCCCCTTCTGGATTCAATCTATTCTCCTGCCCCAGCCTCCCAAATAACTGGGATTACAGGTGTCTGCCACCATGCCCGGTTAAGTTTTTGTATCTTTAATAGAGACTGGGTTTCACCATGTTGGCCAAGCTGGTCTTGAACTCCTGACTTCAGGTGATCCACTTGCCTTGGTCTCCCAAGGAACTGGGATAAAACTATTGTTTTAAAATATAATTATAGAGGATTTTGCCTCAGAACCTGTTCTGCTTCAGGCTTTTGGGCATCCTGAAAACAGCTGCCTCCAAGTGACTTATCCCAGGGACAGAGGTCAGGATGTGAGGGCGTGAGCATTGAGGAAACTTCCTAGGAAACTGGGAACATATGAAAGTCCTAAACGAATAGTTTATCTATACTGAGCATCCTCAGGTGGTATCATATTACTCTAAGAGCTTTTGGAAAAGATGCCTCCTTGGAGATAATAAAACCAAGTGCAGTGTGAAATCCAAGAGCAGACTTCGGGGTGGTGATATAGGTAAATTGGGAAGATGTCATGGGGTCAATGGTGAGACAGTCTCATCCTATCAGAAGCCACCTCTGCCACCTCCCAAAGGCTGCCTAAAATGCTTTGGTAAGTTTATTATAGGGCATGGAGGTAAATATATGTAGAATGGGTGAAATGTTTTCCTGGGAGGGATGACATTTTAAACTATTATTTTATACATTACTGGGAGTCATATGTAATATAGTTCTTGAAAAGAGATTTTGAGAGGGGATTAGGAAAAAAAACTATGAAGACGTTGATGCTAAGAGTGGAAAGGAAAAGTTATCTAAGGTGTGATAGAGTACCAAAAATAGCTTTTTGTTACTTCCTAAATTTGTCAGTATTTAACGGACAAAGTCAATATTCTTTTTTTTTTGAGATGGAGTCTTGCTCTGTCACCCAGGCTGGAGTGCAGTGGAGAGATCTCGGCTCACTGCAAGCTCCGCCTCCAGTGTTCACGCCATTGTCCTGCCTCAGCCTCCTGAGTAGCTGGGAATACAGGTGCCCGCCACCACGCCCGGCTAATTTTTTTGTATTTTTAGTAGAGACGGGGTTTCACCGTGGTCTTGATCTCTTGACTTCGTGATCCACCTGCCTTGGCCTCCCAAAGTGTTGGGATTACAGGCGTGAGCCACTGCGCCCAGCTCAAAGTGAATATTCTTAACCATACAGCTACTTTAATTTTAATATTAGGGCATACTTTTTACTTTAAGAAATTGCATATTAATATTATGTAAAGTAGAAGCATTATGAATGTAGAGAATTTATTCATTAGGGCTCTGATATTTACTGCTGTCTGATTTAGAGAAGTCACTTACCCTCTCTGGGCTTCGGTTTCATTCATTGATAAAATAGGCACTTGAGGTGAAGGGTAGAGCCCGTGGCTTACAGATGCTTGTGTCTCTTAGTTTCCAGCAGTAAATATTTATTAGATGAAAACTTGGCTGAGGCTGCATATCAAAGAGAGGAGGAAGGGGCATCTCTTGGCAGATTTTATCCTCAAGGCAGGTTACCTGCTCCTGCATAAATGAAAGGAGACCTGGCCTGAGTTGAAGGCTCTCTTAACCTTTCCAAAGAGATCAGTAACACTGGTGGCCCATGGGTAACAGTGGTGCCCCATGGTTGTCTAATAAGGAGCTTTACAGTATTAAAAGAAATTTCAGAGAAATTAAGTTTAAAGGAGTTTAACTGAGCATGAAAGATTTGCGAATTGGTTAGCCCCCAGAATCACAGCAGATTCACAGAGACTCCAGGGGTGCCTCATGGTTAGAACCAATTTATGGACCAAAAAGGCAAAATGACGTACATGAATCAGAAGTGCGGTACAGAAAGAGTGAGATTGATTACAACTCTGCCTTTGCCTTATTTGAACACAGTTTGAACATTCAGCAGTCTATGAGTGGTTGAAGTAGGGCCGCTGGGATTGGCCAACACTCAGCTATTGTTACAGGTCCATACTATTGAGTTAGGTTTTCAATTTGTCTAACTATTAGGCTAGGTTACAGTTCATCTGCAAGGACTCAAATATACAAGTATGGAGTCCTTCTCAGGCCATATTTGTTTGCTTTAACAATAGTTTAAGAAAGACATGAGAAGTTAAGAGCAGTTCAGAGGACAGCTGTCATGATAAAGAGTTTAGAAAAGAATGTGTAGGAAGACAGGTCAGGGGTGGGGGATATTGGGATCATTTAAACCTGACAAGAGTCATCTGAATAAAGTATGACAAGCAGTTGGTATTTGGACATTTGCAGAAGTGATTATATAGAATATAGAGCAGATGTTCTCAAGTTTTTTTGGATGCCAAGGCACTCAGGAAAAGATCACATTTACATGGCCCACAGTGTAATCAGGTGAGGTTGCCTAAGACTCCACTAAGGCTTTGAAATGCCTGGGTCCCACTCTGCTACCAAAGGCTGATGGCATCAGTAGTATCATCCAAAAGACCACCAAGATGGCTAAATAGTAGAAAGGAGAGCCTCATTGCTCTCATCAGTTTGCAAGCCAGGAAGGGAAAGCATCCAGTGTGGACTGAAGGTGCTCTCTGTTGGAATAGGGGAAGGACAGGTTGGGTTTTATATTCATATTCATACATATTCAACAAGTTTGTGGGAAAAGCTATACATATTTATGCAGGTGCCGAGCACACCATAATGAATAAACGTATGTAACATACATCCCATGTTCACTTTGGAGTGGGGGTTTAGCACTAAAATGAGGCAGAATTTGGCCCTTTACATCATAAGATGAACTACAGGACACAGGTGGTTTGTGTGCCGCCTCTGTAAGTTGGCAGAAACTGGAAATCTGTATATTAGTAACTTATCAGAAAAGAACGTAAGGCCGGTCCTCTGTCCAATCAGAGCTGATAGATGGTTTGGTTAGAGGGAGTTCAGTTATAGAAAGTTAGGAAATTTGCCATGCCATCTGGGCCCTGAACCCTTGACTCATAGGTAACTTTGTTTCCTTAACCTTAGGGTCTGTCTTAGTTGATAAAGGGGCATCTGTTTTGGTCTCTTAGATACAATAGCTTAGGGCACTGTAACCTATCCCTGCTTTAAGGAGTTGCATACTTGTTACCAAATTGATGTAGAGGGTTGGGACTGGCTGCATTTGAGGTAGTTAGAAAACGTGGGCTCAAAATGACAAATAAGAGACTGAAATAAATGGAGGAACTAATTGATTCTGGTTTTGGACATATTGATTGATTTGTCACAGGATGAGTGTGTGGATGTGTTTGTAAAGAAAAGAATTTTATCTGAGGACTGTGAGTCCTTTTAAGTTATCAGGCCTAGAGAGACACTAAAATGAGACAGAAATCACAGCCGTATCTCCTCCTTGAGCTATGTATTCATCTCTTGAAACTGCTTGCTATTGCCACATGGAGCTATATAGTAACCCAGTAATGCCACATCTGACACTACAACCCACACCCTATAGCTTAACAGTGTATACCCAATCATTAATCTATGTCACTTCTGTAAACCAATGAGAATTCCTGATTACAACTTTGTATCAGCTCACTCCTTGTCCCCTTTTTTGACTTAAAAACCCACTTGTAACTGCTGCTAATTGGAGTGTGTATTTAGGTCGACTTACATCTGTGTTCCCAGGTTGCAATCCTCAAGCTTGACCCAAATGAACTCCCTACTTATAATAATTTTCCATCAGCTTCTTCCTTTATGTCAAGGAGTATGTGTGTCTGTGTACAGAGTATGTTCCAAAAGTGCTTGAACAGTTTAAACTTCACTAACTTCAGAAAAAAAAAGTTCTATAAATTTTCACCTAAGATCCCTTGAAATTTTAATTATATACATTTATTGTACATTTATTTTCATTTTGTAGATGTTAAGTGATGAATTATTAGTGAAACCATGCCCCTGAGAGTTGAAGAAACCAATGACTAATAAAATAAATCAGTTTACAGGATAGCCGGTTAAACAACAAAAACAACAATAACTTGCTAAAATGCCAGAACTCTCCCTGCTTCTGAGATTTAAAAATTGGCTAAAACGGATTAAAACTATTAAGGCCAACTGGAGTTTGCACAGAACAAGCTGGCTGACGTCACAGCCCAAATTTCTGCCACGTTTCAACCAACTCCCCACAAAAGTGCACATGTTATACATGAAGGAGCGTTAAACTAAACTGTGCATGCCGAGGACTTTCAGACCTCCCCTTTCCTTTCACCAATCAACTATTAATTCCAGAGGCCACCCCCTAAACCTCTTCTAATAAAATGACCACATGAAAGCCAGCACAGGGGACATATTTGAGCTGGACTCCTGTCTCCTTGTTGGTTAATTTACAATAAAAAACTTCTTTTCTCAAAAACCAAAATTGGGCTGTGAGCTTCTTTTCCTTGCTAACATTAGTCTTTTTTTTTTTTTTTTTTTTTTTTGAGACGGAGTCTGGTACTGTCGCCTAGGCTGGAGTGCAGTGGCCGGATCTCAGCTCACTGCAAGCTCTGCCTCCCGGGTTTACGCCATTCTCCTGCCTCAGCCTCCCGAGCAGCTGGGACTACAGGCGCCCGCCACCTCGCCTGGCTAGTTTTTTTTTTTGTATTTTTTAGTAGAGACGGGGTTTCACCGGGTTAGCCAGGATGGTCTCGATCTCCTGACCTCATGATCCGCCCGTCTCGGCCTCCCAAAGTGCTGGGATTACAGGCTTGAGCCACCGCGCCCGGCTTGCTAACATTAGTCTTAATCATTTGAGACAGTCCCTCTGATTGGAAATTGTAAAAACTGACTTAAAAAAAAAAGTAATGTTCAACATTCACCAAACGAAATAAATATAAAGCAAATTTAAGTTTTATATCTGCATTTATGTAAGGCAAAAATATTGTGTAGATAAGATGGATTTGAGGACATATGTGATCCTGAGAGTAGCAAAGCCTGGGTACAACAAATATTCCAGGCAGTATTTCAGGCTTTCAAGGGAGTGTACTTGGTGGGGTCCAAGTTAAGGGCTCCAAACAGTAAAGCAAGACTTGGGTAATGCCTGGTTTACTGTTGGAACAAACTGAAAATTCCACTAAGATAAATATATGACATGAAAAAGGATGGACTTGGGAAATGGAGTGGCAGGATAGGGCAAAGGGACCCAGAGAGCCCAGAGAGTCGGCTGTGCTGGGGGGGTTGGGGCTGTGGACACCCCCCCTTTTGTTGCTCCCTCCACCCTCAGAAACCCTCTGTGACTCTTCCATGCTCTGTGATGCAGGCCTGGGTTTATAGTTAAGCCTGGGCACCCTCAGTGCTCAGTTGCTTCAGGCAGCCGAGCTATTCAGATCATGGAGAATATCCTCTGTTTTCTGAACAGCTATATTGAGACAGGGCTGAGCCCTGACTCACATTACTTGGATATTGACCCCACCTTCATTTGCTTGAGTGGGTTGGGGTTGTTTATACTGTACTTGTTCTATGTGGTATTGATCCTGCATTCGTCACCCAGTGAAAAAAGTAATGACATCCAAAAGGTAAGGAACTGTGGGTGAACACCCAAGAGAGATGCCCTGTTGTTTTTTCCCAATCCTATTCCCACACTTCTAAATAAGTCTGGTTGGTTCAGGCACATGTCTTATATGGGAAGTCTGAAGAGAGGATAGAGCTTCACTCTTCTGTGGAAGAGATTGGGCAGACTTATTGGTTCAGGTGGACTAAGGTTTCCATCTGTAGCTCATAGACTACCTATCTGGCTGTGGTGGAGAGTTCCGGGATAAAATCCTAAACACAGTAATTCTGTGGTCCCAGATGGGATTATTTAGAGAGTATGGGCTCTCTGAAGGAGAACAGTCTCTGCTGAAATTTGATCATGAGTCACATTCCCATGTCACCTGTCATTCAACAAAGCCTTCCTTCATGTTGGGCTGACAGGGAAGTAATGCTGAGAGTCTCTGAGCAGAGGCTGGAGCCAGAGGTCTGTCTCTGGGACACTTGTCCTGTGAGGGAGCACAGATGTGACTGTTGGACTCTGAGACTGTGGCCTGGATGAGGACTTCTAACTCAGCACATCAAGTGTGGCTCTCACAGAAGAAATCCTCTTTCAGCTTTTCAGAGACGGAAAAACAGGAAATATTTTATCACCTTCAAATATTGACAACAGGATCATATTTCTATTAATTATAGTGTCATATAATTCTTGTATAATGAATAAATAAATGAATGAGCTTCATAGAGTGTGAGAGAAGTGTGTCCCAGTCTGTCATTATCTTTCTTTTGTTCTCAGCATCAGGGCAGACCCAGGAGGAGAAGGAAAGGTGGAACATTAAAAGGTAATGCCAGGCTGCTCTATCTGAGCTTCAGGGTGACCCTTCCTGTCTCTTTCATGAGGAGTCAGTCCCATGATTTCTTAGAATGTCAGTTACTAGATAGTTTCAGAAAACGCCCTCAGAAGACAGGCTCATGGGAAAGCAATCAGACACGAGACACTACTCATAGTCCCTGCTCTGCCCATTCATGAGCATGATGGAGTGATGGACCTGAGTAATGGGTGTTACCCAATTGGTGGCCAACTGCGATATTGAGGAAGGACTACTGGTTGGCTTGGAGACAGAGTTTCTGTCTCACAGCTTTGCAAAAGTACTTATCTTACTTGATGCTCAGATTCCTCCTGGAGGTAACCACTGATGTCTGTGTTTCATGTGGTGGTTTTGAGCATCACATGGGGTAATGTATATGAAAGGACTTTACTAATGATGCCAAATACAGATGAGAACTTGTGAATATTATCAATAACTATTTGCCTTTTCCTACTGATTCTTGGGGCTATCAGAGTTTAATATCCCAAGGGTCTTCCACAGAGTGACTTCTGTATGATTCCTGTGCCTCTACGTTCATTGCATATAATATATTGTTCTGTTTTCCCAGACGGCAAAAGTTTCCAGAGGGAAGTAGAAGAGGAAAGGAAGCTACTTTCTATTCTGAAAAGGTGATTAATCACTCTCCTTCTGTCCTGTTCCTACCCCCTCTTTTTATTTTATTTTTTTATTTTATTTTTTATTTTTAGCATGTTTTACTCATTTCAGGGATTCCTTGTAGCCTGCTGTAGTTTTGGGAGTGGGTAGCCATAGGAACGGGTATGTGAATGAATGCTTGTGGAGAGGCTATAGTGAGGTCATATGACCTCATATATGGTAAGGTCATGGGAGGGGGGCAATGTGAAGTGGGCAGCAGGATTCAGGGGGCCCCACCCCTGCCAGGATAATAGACCCTCCTTTCCTTGTTCTGGTTCTGGCTGCAGCTTTGGACCTCCTGTTTCCTGCGGTCCCCTGGGCCAGCATCATGATACCACCCGCTTTCGTCGACTGTTATGCCCAGACCCTGTCTGTCAGGTGTGTAACAGAGCAACTGCTGATATCCAGCGACTGCTGTCTTGGGAGTCCCTGAAAGATGCTGCTCCTTCTGTGTCTCCTTTGACTTCTGCAGCTTCTGCAACTGAGTCATCGTTCACTCTCTCTTCCACCCCGTCAGCAACCCCTCCAGAAGATGTAATACTGTCCCCTCGGCCTAAGCCTTCTCCACTGCCCCAGTTAATTCTCTCACCTGACTTGATCACCTCCTTAGCTAACTTGTTTTCACCCTCACCACTGAGGGACCCTCTGCCACCATAGCCTGTTTCTCCCCTGGATTCCAAGTTCCCCGTAGACCATTCCCCACCCGAAGAGCTTCCCTTTCCCCTTCTCCCACAACATCACATTCAGAGAGCGGAGCCCAATCTCTATCCTGTGGCCAGTATGTCTCTGAACCCCACCTTTTCACTTGACTCCACCATATGCCAAGATATTTCCCAGGCCATGAATCCCACTGATTCGCGTGCTCATCATCACAAACCACCAATCCCATCTGCTTTACCATCGGAAGACTGCACTGTGACTTCGTTGAAATCAAGACTCACCATCTTGAAGCCTTTTCTGGAGATGTTATCTCTTGGTGGCTCTGGTGGGACATCCACCTATGCCCCAACAATCAAAGGCATTGACCATTCATGCCCTGCATCTTCAGAATTCTCCTGGTGGCATCCTCATGCCAAGGGCTCTTTTTCCTCCAATTTTGTGCCATCTGATTTCATGGAGGAGCTTCTTACCCTTCATTCTTCTGAGGCCTCTTTAGCGGGGCACTCTGTGGCCAACGTCATACAGCCTGTTAACATCTCCTTTGTCAGTCATGACATTCTGGCACTCTTGGAGAGACAGTCAAAAAAGGTGTGATCTTCTGATGTGGAAAGAAAATGAAAACAAAGCAGGATCTTTTCCAACACAACTTAGGCCAAACTACCAGCTAAAGTCTTCACGGAAAATGTTAGCCTCAATTGCTGATAAGCATGACTTGGCAGCCTCCCTTACTTTTTGGGCCAGTAAAGGCAAACTAGAGGGGCAGCACATCCATCAGCAGCCCCCATACTCTAAGTGCTTTGAAGACCATTTAGAACAAAAATATGTGCAGCTCTTCTGGGGTCTCCCATCTCTGCACAGCGAGTCTCTTCACCCTACTGTTCTTGTCAAACATGGCCATTCCTCCATGTTTGTAATCTTCAATGGCATTACAAATACATCTATATTCCATAAATTTTCAGTACTTCCCCCTCCCCAACCTCTGTCCTTGCCTAATACCCAAGCTCTGCCCTTGCCTCAAACCCTGCCCCAAGGTCAGTCCCCACATCTCACTCAGGTCCAGTCCCACAATCAACATCAATCTCTACTCCCAGCCCTACTACCTAGTTCTCCATTCCTGATTAGGATCTGTGGAGTGTGTTTTCATAGACCCCAGAATGAGGCACGGTCTCTTACGCCATCTGAAATTAATCTTCTGGAGTGTAACGTGTTGCAGAAAGTGCAGGAAAGTGTGTGGGGAGAGCTTAGGTCAGAAACAACTTGAAAATGCCCTGACAGTACATTTGAGCAAGAAATTTGAGGAAATCAATGAGGGTCGAATGCCTGGGACTGTGCATAGTTCATGGCATTCAGTTAAGCAGACAATGTCTCTTGCTGAGGAATCCCACAGCCAAATAAAACATCGAAATTTGGCAGCATTGGTGAGTGAGGACCACGGCGTTGATACTTCCCAGGAGATTTCTTTCCTTAGCTCCAACAAACAAAAGACGTTTGAAACTCATATTAAATCTTCCCATAGGAAGATGCTGTGGGGCATTCCCCACAAGGTCCTGGAATACATAGAAATCTTCAAATTGAAAAAGGACCTTTCCAATTCCTTTTCCCATTTCAATTTTCCCTCCTCAGCCACCTTCATTTCTCGGGGAGATACCAAAGATGGGGTCTCTAACTCTAATAGACAAAGCACCTTCCAAGGAGGAAAGTTTGGAACAACAAGCTCAGTCCCTGTCCTCGATAATCCTCATCATGTCACCTCACCTGTTGGCAAAGAAAAACCGGAGACTCTAGGAAGACAATTTACTAATGCTGATCATGACCTTATAGAGACAGATTCCAAAGATGGGGCCTCCATGCCCCTTAGAAAAGGTACTACAGATTTTCAAGGAGAAAAGTTAGAAACAACCAGCTCATTCTCCACCCTGGGTCATCCTCAACTGGTCTCCTCACCTATTTATCAAGAAAAGCAGGAGACCCTGAGAAGAGAATTCGCTGATACTGACAATGATCTTACAGAAAGTGTCCCAACAACTGAGGATGGCGGACAGACTTTTCTGCCCCCCGCACACAGCATCATAGACGAAGTCAGTCAGAAACAGACTATACTGGCCAGTAGATGCAGCACAGAGCTGCCCATAATGCAAGCTGGAGTTGGCCGTGAGTCAAGGGATAAGAGAGAGAGTGCCAGTAATGTTAACAGGCTTCAGGGCAGTAGAAAGACCTATCCTGTCACCAATGGGTCGAAGGAGATGTTCAAGGAAGAGGAGAGCTGTGCTCTTCAATCACAAAATAGGAACAACTTGACATCCAGCAAGTCAGGAAGCTGCTAAGAGACAAATGTAAAAGCAAGCACATCTCATGAAACTGAAATTTTCCCACCAAGAGTATCAGTTCCCCAAGATCCTAAATCGTCATATCTTAAAAATCAGATGCTGAGTCAGTTAAAGTTGGTCCAGAGGAAGGATAGCCAACTTCAGAGTCATTTCACTGACATGTCTCTTGCCTTAGATAACTTGAGTTCCAAGGACTTACTGACTCATCCCCAGGGCATTTCAAGTCGGGACACAGAAACTTCCCAGGTGCTGCATGTCCACTTGGAGGACAGAGGGATCTGTGCGGCACAGCAGCAGGAGCCCAGTGTCCCTACCCATGTCTTACAGAAATGCCAAGTTAAGAATTTTTCACCAGTTACAAAGAGAGTGAGCCCTCTAAGACCCAAGGGAGGAGAGGTTGGTGGAGGGGATGCAGGGTTCAGGACATCCCAACTATACCAACTCAGGAGAAAGAGCCACGCTATTCATAACAAGACATCAAGGGAGTTGCTTGGGAGCAAATCTTACCTAACCTTGAAAACACAGCCTCCTCCTGAAAACCTTTTCAGAAAGTGGATGAAGACCTTTTTGCAGTGGTTTAATAAACCCAGCATAACATATGAAGATCAAGAAAGTTCCCAGGCAAAGGATAGCTCCCTGTCATCATCTGTGCAGAATAGAGGTCGAGTTACAAGTAAAGCTGCTTTTACTGGGACTACTGAAGCTCAGAAAATTAGGAAAGACACTGGGGAGTTCCTAGAAGCTGTGGCATAGGCCTGGGATAGATGTCACCTGTCCCCAAGAGCCCCTTGCCTCCCCAGTAGAACTTGGGAAAGCTAAGCACGGGCCAGATGTGGAGGGCAGAGCAGAGCCTGTCCAGGGCTATCCCCACAACTGCACAGCTGCCTCCTGCAAAGTGACATGTACCAAATCTTGCAGCCAACAAGCTATCTTTGTTGGCCAGAATTATCCTATAATGATTAAACAGATCATAGACAAGTACAGACAGCCCGAGAAAGTTGAGGCATTTAAGGGGAAGATATTGTGTCAAAGCCATCCCCCATCCATGCCCCACAGGAAGCCTATGCCACATTCAAACCCCACTTGTTGGTGTCATGTCACCCTGGTGTGTCCAGCTGTCCCAACCAGTGCTAAAAGCACTGTGTTCAGTGATGTGCCTTTACCAACTGGACAGAAAATGCTTCCGAAGCATTTCCAGGGAGGAAAATTTTCCCCCACAAAATCATTCACTGCTTGTTGAGAACCTTGACTCTCCCTAATAAATGTTCTAATAAGATTGGTGTCTTTTCTGTGTGTTGTGTTAGGAGGTATAGGTTTTGGGCAACCGAAGCTTGTGGTTAGGGAAAGGTAGGCGTTAGTTCAGCTCTTACTGACTCCCTCATTTGACTTTTAAAAGGTGACCAATCCTCTGGAGCTCTTGTGGAGGAATGAGTATCACGTGCCTCCAAAAGTCCATTTTCTCCCTGATGAAGTCTGAGGAGATGAGCTCTTTTCTACCTCTTTGCTTGAGATTTACTGATACCGTATGGCAGCCTGCACCTTCCTCCCCATTCACTGCTTCATGTCCTTTAGAGCAGTAGGAAGGCAGGCCTTGCATATCAGAAGAGAGGGTCAAAGACAGGTATGTTTTTCAGAAATAGGGGTTTAATCACTGTTTAAAAAACGTCACTGACCACAGCATTATGTAAGTTGGTGGTAGTGTTTGGGGTATTGCTGGTTGCGGTAGGGTGTCAGGAACACTGTGGATGCTGCTTAAGAGTTTGAAAAGCAGGGCATCCTCATGATTTAGGGAAGCACATTTTGACCTCAACGTTGAGGTCTTTCTACTAATAAGTCACTTGGGGAAGTAGTTCCCTTCCCTGTGTATTTCTCCATGCTGCCTGGGTTGATGAAATTTTCACAGAGCAAAAAGATCACCTAGCTATCAGTGGTAGGAATGTTGACCAGACAACCACCTACCTCCTATGGTAAAATATAGCTGAGAGTAAGGAAAAGATGTCTTATAATGAATGAGAAAGTAAGAAAAAAGTGAAGCTAGGAAAGGATGGTCATGCTAGTGGAAAAAGGTTTATGTCCCATCATGCCCATATCAGGACCCTTTGTCAATCTGGATCTAGGCACTACCCCCTTGAGGTTTACCAGGGCACTGCTAAGCTGACAGATGCCATTTTGGCAGAAGTGTCCATGGGGCTGTTGTTTCAGGACTAAAACAGTATCTGCAGGGCTGTTGTTAACACGGCATCCCTCTCTTTAGAGAAGGTGATCTTTGTGCCTTCTTTCTAGCCATGTTGATGGCAACATGCAAGATCTTCCCTTAGTGTATATGGTGCATCTATCAGGATGGACGTGTCACTTATGATCTTCATGAGCTTAGTGGAATATAACAGATATTGTCTAGAACACCTGCAGCTCACGATCCAGAGGCGAGTCCTTGACTATGCATGACGGTTAGAGATATTTGGAGGCTCATTATGAATCTTTACAGAATGCTCCTTATGGCTAAGAGTGTGCACATATACACCCTTAAAATATTAGAGGTCTGAAGAGAAGGCTACTCCATTTATACAGACTGGGACTAATAAATGAGGTGAGCTTTCTAGAGGTCACTTCAGGTAGGTTTTCCAGAAAAATTTGTGAATGCTTGGTGTCAAAACAAAAGCAAAACAAAACAAATCAAAATAGATGTCCACTACAGCTCGCTCAGTCAACCATCCTTCTGTTTACCTGTCCATGCTTATGCTACTGACCCTGCAGTGTCTGAAGCTTGGGATTGCAGAAATAATTCAGATTTCTTGAAGGCTTTAAGAAGCACAAAATTGGGATGAAGCTCAGGGTGAAGAACTTGTGGAGGTGGAGAATCAGTCACCCGTGGATGCTGGGGGGATTCTCCGTGTTCTTCTCTGTAAGCCTGTCCGCTAAATCCTGTAAGGCTGGCAGCCATGCTAACTGTTTTAAAATGGCTGAAGGGGGCCCAGTATTTGGTTTGATTTGGTTCTAAAATGAAGGCCGAGAGTCTCGAAATGAAAGGACAGACTCGGAGTCTGCTCCTCTACTCACCATGTCGATGAAGGTTATACCTTGGTATCAGACATGAGCCCCCAGTTTGAAGGGGCTACATTATCTGGGGTATATGCCCTGGCATTCATCATCATGTGTCAGGAAAATTTAGAACACAGACACACATGAGGAGTTTAGGAGCAGAGGTTTAATAGGCAGAAGATAAGAGAAAGAGAAACAGTTCTCTCTATAGACCAAGAAGAGTCTCCAAGTGGAAAAGACTGGCTGGCAGCGAATGCACCAAATTTTATAGTCAGGTTTGAGGAGGCAGTGTCTGACTTCCATAGGGCTCACAGATTGGTTCAATCAGGTATGATGTTTACAGAGTGTACGAGCAAGGTTGTAAAGCTGGTTGCCCCAACCTAATCTTATTATGCAAATGGGCTTTCCAGTTGATCGGTGCCATCTTGTCTGCTCCTTACTGTACATGTGGCTGACAGAGAAAAGAAGATGGAGCCACCATCTTGAACATATCTAGTCCCCTAGTTCCTGCCAGCATTCATCTGTGCAAGCTCCAAGCTTGCTTGTCTATGTCTGTAGCTTGAATTTACAGGCTGCTCCTTGTTAGAAAATGATTTGGGGCTGCTTCTCTTTAAAAAGAAAAGATTTACTGAGGACTCCCATACCCTTATTATCTGTCTAGGTAATTTCTTCTTAAATCCTGTATCAGCAACATTATAGCCCCAAAGTGAAAACAATTTAAACGTTCACCAACTAAATCAATGAATAAACAAAATGTGATATATCCATACAATGGGGTGTCATTTGTCCATAAAAAGAAATGAAGTATTAATACATGCTACAACATGAATGGACTTTGAAAACATCACGGTGAGAAGCCAGACACAAAAATCCACATATTGTATGATTCCATTTAGTTGAAATGTCTAGAAATGAAAAATAGATAGAGATAGAAAGTAGATTACTGGTAACATAGGGAGGAATGCAAATATTGAAGAGTGAAGGCTAAGTGAAGCAGAGTTTCTTTTTGGGGTAATGAAAATGTTCTAAAATTGATTGTGGTGATGCATGCACAACACTGTGAATATGCTCAAAGCTGTTGAGTGGTATACTTTTGGTGAGTGGATTGTATAGTAAATAAATTATGTTTCAATAAAAACTTTTTTAAAAAGAAAGTTTGTATAGCAGCTTTATTCATAATTGTCCAAATTAGAAGCAACAGAAATGTCTTTCAGTAGGTAAGTAAACTTTTTTTTATATCCAAAAATGGAACATCATATGCCATTGAAAAGAAATAAACTGGCAAAACACAAAAAAGGAGGAAACCTAAATGTGTATTATTAAGTGAAAGAACACAATCTGAAAAGGCTGTATGATACTAACTGTATGACATTCGAAAATGGGCAAAACTATGAAGGCAATAAAAAGGGCAATGGTTGTCAGGGGCTAGTGGGGAGGGAGGGATGAAAAAAGAGCACAGAGGATTTTTAGGGCAGTGAACTATTCTATATGAGATTACAATAGTGGACACGTGTCATTATACATTTATCAAAACCCACAGAATGTGCAACATCAAGAGTGACTGTTAATGTAAACTATGGACTTTGGGTAATAGTGATGTGTAATTGTACGTTCGTCAATTGTAACAAATGTACCACTCTAGTATGGGATGTTGACAGTTGGGGAGGCTGTGCCTGTGTGGGGATAGATGGTATGTGGGAGGTTTCCCACTTACTTTTCCTGTTGACATAAAACCTCTGTAAAAAATAAAAGTCAATTAAAAAGAAGAAGATGAGGAGGAGGAGGAGGAGGAGGAGGAGGAAGTTGTTAATATGTCACAAGGCCCAACATCAGAGAGTTGGCATCAACTCTCTGAAGTATTCCCTGAACCCTGTTTTCCCTTCCTCCTGGCAGAAGAATTTTACTTCTTTATCTATCTTCCCATTGTGTATTATCTTTGATTGTTTTACAGCTTTTTGTAGCATATTTTATTATACTTGTTTGCAGGTCTCACTTCCTGGACTATGACCTGTCCAAGGGCAAAGGCAATATCTTCTTTTACTGATATTTTTACAGTAGTAGGAATACTATGTAGTAAAGTTCAATAAATATATTTGTTGTGTGAATGTATGAATAACATCTTATAACTACTGTTCTATTATTTTTTTTTTAGAGAAAGTCTCATTCTGTCACCCAGGCTGGAGTATAGTGGTGTAATGTCATCTCACTATAACCTCCCCTTCTGGGTTCAATCTATTCTCCTGCCTCAGCCTCCCAAGTAACTGGGATTACAGGTGTCTGCCACCATGCCCGGTTAAGTTTTTGTATCTTTAGTAGAGACTGGGTTTCACCATGTTGGCTAAGCTGGTCTTGAACTCCTGACCTCAGGTGACTCACCTGCCTTGGTCTCCCTAGGAGCCAGGATAGACCTACTGTTTTAAAATATAATTATAGAGGATTTTGCCTCAGAACCTGTTCTGCTTCAGGCTTTTGGGCATCCTGAAAACAGCTGCCTCCAAGTGACTTATCCCAGGGACAGAGGTCAGGATGTGAGGGTGTGAGCATTGAGGAAACTTCCTAGGAAATTGGGAACATATGAAAGTCCTAAATGAATAGTTTATCTATACTGAGCATCCTCAAGTGGTAGCATATTACTCTAAGAGCTTCTGGAAAAGATTCCTCCTTGGAAATAATAAAACCAAGTGCAGTGTGAAATCCCAAGAACAGCCTTCGGGGTGGCAGTGTAGGTAAATTGGGAGGATGTCATGGAGCCAATGGTGAGACAGTGTCATCCTACCAGAAGCCACCTCTGCCACCTCCCAAAGGCTGCCTAAAATGCTTTGGTAGGAGCTTATTAGAAGGCTTGGAGGTAGATGTATGTACAATATGTGAAATGTTTTCCTGGGAGGGATGGCATTTTAAACTTTTATTTTATACATTACTGGAAGTCGTATGTAATATAATTCTTGAAAACAGATTTTAAGAGGGGGCTACGGAAAAAAACTATGAAGACATTGATGCTAAGAGTGGAAAGGAAAAGTTATCTAATGGGTGATAGAGTACCAAAAATAGCTTTTCCCTTCCCAATTTTGTCAGCATTTAACGGACAAAATGAATATTCTTAACCATCCAACTACTTTAATATTAGGGTATACTTTTTACTTTAAGAAATTACATATTAATTTGTGTAAAATAAAAGCATTATGAATGTAGAGAATTTATTCATTAGGGCTCTGATATTTACTACTGTCTGATTTAGAGAAGTCACTTACCCTCTCTGGGCTTCGGTTTCATTCATTGATAAAATAGGCACTTGAGGTGAAGGGCAGAGCCCGTGGCTTACAGAGGCTTGTGTCTCCTAGCTTCCAGCAGTAAATATTTATTAGATGAAAACTTGGCTGAGGCTGCATATCAAAGAGAGGAGGAAGGGGCATCTCTTGGCAGATTTTATCCTCAAGGCAGGTTACCTGCTCCTGCATAAATGAAAGGAGACCTGGCCTGAGTTGAAGGCTCTCTTAACCTTTCCAAAGAGATCAGTAACACTGGTGGCCCATGGGTAACAGTGGTGGCCCATGGGTGTCTAATAAGGACCTCTATAGTATTAAAAGAAATTTCAGAGAAATTAAGTTTAAAGGAGTTTAACTGAGCATGAAAGATTTGCGAATTGGTTAGCCCCCAGAATCACAGCAGATTCACAGAGACTCCAGGGGTGCCTCATGGTTAGAACCAATTTATGGACCAAAAAGGCAAAATGACGTACATGAATCAGAAGTGCGGTACAGAAAGAGTGAGATTGATTACAACTCTGCCTTTGCCTTATTTGAACACAGTTTGAATATTCAGCAGTCTATGAGTGGTTGAAGTAGGGCCGCTGGGATTGGCCAACACTCAGGTATTGTTACAGGTCCATACTGTTGAGTTAGGTTTTCAATTTGTCTAACTATTCGGCTAGGTTACAGTTCATCTGCAAGGACTCAAATATACAAGTATGGAGTCCTTTTCATGGCACAATTGTTTTCTTTCACAATAGTTTAAGAAAGACATGAGAATTTAAGAGCCAGTTCAGAGGACAGCTGTCATGATAAAGAGTTTAGAAAAGAATGCGTAGGAAGATGGGTCAGGGATGGGGGATATTGGGATCATTTAAACCTGACAAGAGTCACCTGAATAAAGTATGACAGGTAGTTGGTATTTGGACATTTGCAGAGGTGATTATGTAGAATAGAGAACAGATGTTCTCAAGTATTTTTGGATGCCAAGGCACTCAGGAAAAGATCACATTTACATGGCCCACAGTGTAATCAGGTGAGGTTGCCTAAGACTCCATTCTGCTCTAAGGCTTTGACACGCCTGGGTCCCACTCTGCTACCAAAGGCTGATGGCATCAGTAGTATCATCCAAAAGACCACCAAGATGGCTAAATAGTAGAAAGGAGAGCCTCATTGCTCTCATCAGTTTGCAAGCCAGGAAGGGAAAGCATCCAGTGTGGACTGAAGGTGCTCTCTGTTGGAATAGGGGAAGGACAGGTTGGGTTTTATATTCATATTCATACATATTCAACAAGTTTGTGGGAAAAGCTGTACATATTTATGCAGGTGCCGAGCACACCATAATGAGTAAACATATGTAACATACATCCCATGTTCACTTTGGAGTGGGGGTTTAGCACTAAAATGAGGTAGAATTTGGCCCTTTACATCATAAGATGAACTTCAGGACACAGGCGGTTTGTGTGCAGCCTCTATAAGCTGGTAGAAACTGGAAATCTGTAATATTAGTAACTTATCAGAAAAGAACGTTTGTAAGGCTGGTCCTCTGTCCAATCAGAGCTGATAACTGGTTTGGTTAGAGGGAGTTTAGTTATAGAAAGTTAGAAAATTTGCCATGCTATCCAGGCCCTGAACCCTCCACCACAGGTAACTTTGTTTCCTTAACCTTAGGGTCTGTCTTAGTTGATAAAGGGGCATCTGTTTTGGTCTCTTAGATACAATAGCTTAGGGCACTGTAACCTATCCCTGCTTTAAGGAGTTGCATACTTGTTACCAAATTGATGTAGAGAGTTGCGTCTGGTTGTGTTTGAGGTAGAGTTAGAAAATATGGTGTCAAAACGACAAGTAAGAGATTGAAATAAAAGGAGGAACTAATTGATTCTGGATTTGAAGATACTGATTGATTTGTCACAGGATTGGTGTGTGGGTGTGTTTGTTAAGAAAATAACTTTTATCTAAGGACTGTGAGTCTTCTTAAATTATCAGGCCTAGAGAGACACTAAAATGAGACAGAAATCACAGCTGTATCTCCTCCTTGAGCTATGCATTCATCTCTTGAAACTGCTTGCTATTGCCACATGGAGCTATATAGTAACCCAGTAATGCCACACCTGACACTACAAACCACCCCCTATAGCTTAACAATGTGTAGGCAATCACTAATCAATGTTGCTTCTGTAAACCAATGAGAATTCCTGATTACAACTTTGTATCAATCCACTCCTTGTTCCCTTTTCAACTTTAAAAACCCACTTGTATTTACAGCTAATTGGAGTGTATATTTAGGCTGACTTGCATCTGTGTTCCCAGGTTGCAATCCTCAAGCTTGACCCAAATGAACTCCCTACTTATAATAATTTTCCATCAACTTCTTCCTTTTAGGTCGATGTGTATGTGTGTTTGTGTACAGAATATGTTCCAAAAGTGCTTGAACAGTTTAAACTTCACTAACTTCAGAAAAATAAGTTCTATAAATTTACCCCTAAGGTCCCTCGAAGTTTCAATTATATACATTTATTGTACACTTATTTTCATTTTGTAGATGTTAAATAATGCATTATTAGTGAAACCATGCCCCAGAGACTTGAAGAAACCAATGACTAATGAAATTAATCAGTTTACAGGATAGCAGATCAAACAACAACAACAACAACAGTAACTTGCTAAAATGCCAAAACTCTCCCTGCTTCTGAGATTTAAAAACTGGCTAAAATGGATTAAAACTATTAAGGCCAACTGGAGTTTACACAGAACAAGCTGGCCAACGTCACAGCCCCAATTTCTGCCACGTTTCAACCAACTCCCCACGAATGTGCACACGTGATACATGAGGCAGTGTTAAACAAAACTGTGCATGCCGAGGACTTTCAGACCTCCCCTTTCCTTCCACCAACCAACTATTAAGTCCAGAGGCCATTCTCTAAACCTTTTCTAATAAAATGACTGCATGAAATGCACACGGGACAGGTCTGAGCTGGACTCCTGTCTCCTTGTTGGTTTATTTACAATAAAAATCTTCTTTTCTGAAAAACCCAAATTGGGCAGTGAGCTTCTTTTCCTTGAGAACATTAGTTTTAATCGTTTGAGTCAGTCTCTCTGATTGGAAATAGTAAAGGTTGACTTCAAAACAAAGAATGTAATGTTTGACATTCACAAAACAAAGTAAGTAGAAAGGAAATTTAAGTTTTATATCTGCGTTTATGTAAGGCAAAAACATTCTGCAGATAAGACGGATTTGAGGACATATGTGATCCTGAGAGTGGCAATGCCTGGGTACAACGAATATTCCAGACAGTATTTCAGGCTTTCAAGGGAGTGTACTTGGTGGGGTCTAAGTTAAGGGCTCCAAACAGTAAAGCGGGACTTGGGTAATGCCTGGTTTACTGTTGGAACAAACTGAAAATTCCACTAAGATAAATATATGACATGAAAAAGGATGGACTTGGGAAATGGAGTGGCAGGATAGGGCAAAGGGACCCAGAAAGCCCAGGAGAGTCAGCTGTGCTGGTGGGGTTGGGGCTGTGGACACACCCCCCTTTTGTTGCTCCCTCCACCCTCAGAAACCCTCTGTGACTCTTCCATGCTCTGTGATGCAGGCCTGGGTTTATAGTTAAGCCTGGGCACCCTCAGTGCTCAGTTGCTTCAGGCAGCCGAGCTATTCAGATCATGGAGAATATCCTCTGTTTTCTGAACAGCTATATTGAGACAGGGCTGAGCCCTGACTCACATTACTTGGATATTGACCCCACCTTCATTTGCTTGAGTGGGTTGGGGTTGTTTATACTGTACTTGTTCTACATGGTATTGACCCTGTATTTGTCACCCACCGAAAAAAATAATGACATCCAAAAGGTAAGGGACTGTGGGTGAACACCCAAGAGAGATGCCCTGTTGTTTTTTCCCAATCCTATTCCCACACTTCTAAATAAGTCTGGTTGGTTCAGGCACATGTCTTATATGGGAAGTCTGAAGAGAGGATAGAGCTTCACTCTTCTGTGGAAGAGGTTGGGCAGACTTATTGGTTCAGGTGGACTAAGGTTTCCATCTGTAGTTCATAGACTACCTATCTGGCTGTGGTGGAGAGTTCCAGGATAAAATCCTAAACACAGTAATTCTGTGCTCCCAGATAGGTTTATTTAGAGAATGTGGGTTCTCTGAAGGAGAATAGTCTCTGCTGAAATTTGATCATGAGTCACATTCCCATGTCACCTGTCATTCAACAAAGCCTTCCCTCATGTTGGGCTGACAGGGAAGTAATGCTGAGAGTCTCTGAGCAGAGGCTGGGGCCAGAGCTCTGTCTCTGGGACACTTGTCCTGTGAGGGAGCACAGATGTGACTGTTGGACTCTGAGTCTGTGCCCTGGATGAGCACTTCTAACTCAGCACATCAAGTGTGGCTCTCACAGAAGAAATCATCTTTCAGCTTTTCAGAGAAGGGAAAATGGGAAATATTTTATCACCTTTAAAAATTGATAAAAAGAATGTATTTCTATTAATTAGAGAGTCATATCATTCTTGTATAATGAATGAATGAATGAATGAGCTTCATAGAGTGTGAGACAAGTGAGTCGTAGCCTGTCATTATCTTTCTTTTGTTCTCAGCATCAGGGCAGAGCCAGGAGGAGAAGGAAAAGTGTGACATTTAAAGGTAATGTCAGCCTGCTTTATCTGAGCTTCAGGGTGACTCTTCCTGTCTCTTTCATGAGGAGTCAGTCCCATAATTTCTTAGAAGGTCAGTTACTAGACAGTCTCAGAAAACAGAGCCCTCAGAAGACAGGCTCATGGGAAAGCAATCAGACATGAGACACTACTCATAGGCCCTGCTCTGCCCATTCATGTGCATGACAAAATGATGGACCTGCCCAATGGGTGCTGCCCAACTGGCGGCCTACTGAGATATCGAGGAAGGACTACTGGTTGGCTTGGAGTCAGTGCTTCTGTCTCACAACTTTGCATAAGTACTTTGACTTCCTCGATGCTCGAATTCCTCCTAGAGGTTACCACCGATGTGTTTCACGTGGTGCTTTTGAGCATCACATGGGGTAATGTACGTGAAAGTTTACTAATGATTCCACATACACACGTGAACTTGTGAAAATTATCAATGACTATTTGCCCTTTTCTACTGATTCTTGGGGCTATCAGAGTTTAATATTCCAAGGGTCTTCCACAGAGTGACTTCTGTATGATCCCTGTGCCACTACGTTCATTGCATATAACATACTCTTCTGGTTTCCCAGACCGGAAAAATTTCCAGAGGGAAGCAGAAGAGGAAAGAAAGCTACTTTCTATTCTGAAAAGGTGATTAATCGTTCCCCTTGTGTCCTGTTCCACCCCCTCCTTTTTTTTTCTTTTTGCATGTTCTATTCACTTTAGGGATTCCTTGTAGCCTGCTGTAGTTTTGGGAGTGGGTAGCCATAGGAATGGGTATGTGAATGAATGCTTTGGGGAGAGGCTATAGTGAGGTCATATGACCTCATATATGGTGAGGTCATGGGTGGGGGGCAATGCGAAGCAGGTAGCAGGATTCAGGGGGCCCCACCCCTGCTAGGCTAACAGACCCTCCTTTCCTTGTTCTGATTCTGGCTGCAGCTTTGGACCTCCCGTTTCCTGCGGTCCCCTGGGCCAGCATCATGATACCACCTGCTTTCGTCGACTGTTATGCCCAGACCCCCTCTGTCAGGTGTGTAACAGAGCAACTGCTGATATCCAGCGACTGCTGTCTTGGGAGTCCCTGAAAGATGCTGCTCCCTGTGTGTCCCCTTTGCCTTCTGGAGCTTCTGTGACTGAGTCATCATTCACTCTGTCTTCCACACCCTCAGCAATCCCTACAGAAGACCTAATATTGTCTCCTCGGCCTAAGCTCTCTCCACCTCCCCTGTTAATTCTCTCACCTGACTTGATCACGTCCTTAGCTAACTTGTTTTCACCCTCACCACTGAAGGACCCTCCGCCACCACAGCCTGTTTCTCCCCTGGATTCCAAGTTCCCCGTAGACCATTCCCCACCCCAACAGCTTCCCTTTCCCCTTCTCCCACCACATCACATTCAGAGAGTGGAGCCCAGTCTCCAACCTGAGGCCAGTTTCTGTCTGAACACCATCTTTTCACTTGACTCCACCCAATGCCAAGATATTTCCCAGGCCATGAATCCCACTGATTCATGTGCTCATCATAACAAACCACCAATCTCAGCTGCTTTACCACTGGAAGACTGCTCTGTGACTCAGTCGAAATCAAGACTCACCATTTTGAAGCCTTTTGCAGAGATGTTATCTCTAGGTGGCTCTGGTGAGACATCCACCTATGCCCCAATAATCAAAGGCATTGACCATTCATGCCCTGCATCTTCAGAATTCTCCTGGTGGCAGCCTCATGCCAAGGGCTCTTTTTCCTCCAATTTTGTGCCATCTGATTTCATGAAGGAGCTTCTTACCCTTCATTCTTCTGAGGCCTCTTTAGCGGGGCACTCTGTGGCCAACGTCATACAGCCTGTTAACATCTCTTTTGTCAGCCATGACATTCTGGCACTCCTGGAGAGACAAGTCAAAAAAAGGTGTGATTTCCTGATGTGGAAAGAAAATGGAAAGAAATCAGGATCTTTCCCAACACAACTTAGGCCAAACTACCAACTAAATTCTTCACGGAAAATGTTAGCCTCAATTGCTGATAAGCATGACATGGTAGAATTCTTTCCTTTTGGGGCCAATAAAGGCAAACTAGAGGGGCAGCACATCCATCAGCAGCCCCCATACTCTAAGTGCTTTGAAGACCATTTAGAGCAAAAATATGTGCAGCTCTTCTGGGGTCTCCCATCTCTGCACAGCGAGTCTCTGCATCCTACTGTTCTTGTCCAACGTGGCCGTTCCTCCATGTTTGTATTCTTCAATGGCATTACAAATACATCTATATTCCATAAATTTCCAGTACTTCCCTCTCCCCAACCTCTGTCCTTACCTAATACCCAAGCTCTACCCTTGCCTCAAACCCTGCCCCGAGGTCAGTCCCCACATCTCACTCAGGTCCAGTCCCAGGCTCAACATCAATCTCCACTCCCAGTCCTACTACCTAGTCCTCCATTCCTGATTAGGATCTGTGGAGTGTGTTTTCATAGACCCCAGAAGGAGGCACAGTTTCTTACGCCATCTGAAATTAATCTTCTGGAGTGTAATGTGTTGCAGAAAGTGCAGGAAAGTGTGTGGGGTTTACCCTCTGTGGTTAAAAAATCCCAGGAAGACTTTTGTCCTCCAGCTCCCAATCTTGCATTGGTCAGAAAGTCCTTCAAGGTCCATGTTCCCGTCTCTATAATTCCTGGAGATTTTCCACTGAGCTCTGAGGTAAGGAAGAAACTAGAGCAACACATTCGAAAGAGGCTCATCCAGCGCAGATGGGGCCTGCCCCGTAGAATCCATGAGTCTCTGTCATTACTACGTCCTCAGAGCAAAATTTCGGAGCTATCTGTGTCAGAGAGCATTCATGGACCCTTACATCACTCTTCAGTTGAGGGTCAGAGCCTCAATGTTCTAAAGAAGTTCGGATCAATCATCCCTAGAACCTTGCATGAGAGGAGCTCAAATATGCTTTCCCTGGAGAATGTGGGGAATTATCAGGGATGCAGCCAGGAGAATGGCCCAAAAAATCATCTGTTGCAAGATCCAGAGACATCTTCAGATGAGGATCTGAGGTCTAACTCTGAGAGAGACCTGGACACTCATATGATGCATCTGTCAGGGAATCATTCAGGGGAGAGCCTAGGTCAGAAACAACTTGAAAATGCCCTGACAGCACATTTGAGCAAGAAATTTGAGGAAATCAATGAGGGTCGAATGCCTGGGACTGTGCATAGTTCATGGCATTCAGTCAAGCAGACAATGTCTCTTGCTGAGGAATCCCACAGCCAAATAAAACATCGAAATATGGCAGCATTGGTGAGTGAGGACCACGGCGTTGATACTTCCCAGGAGATTTCTTTCCTTGGTTCCAACAAACAAAAGATGTTGGAAGCCCATATTAAATCTTTCCGCATGAGAATGCTGTGGGGCCTTCCCCGCAAGGTCCTTGAATCCATAGAAATCTTCAAATTGAAAGAGGACCTTTCGAATTCCTTTTCCTATTTCGACCTTCCCTCCTCAGCCAGCTTTATTTCTCGGGGAGATTCCAAAGATGGGGTCTCTAAGTCTAATAGACAAAGCACTTTCCAAGGAGGAAAGTTGGGAACAACAAGCTCAGTCCCTGTCCTTGATCGTCCTCATCCTGTCACCTCACCTGTTGGCAAAGAAAAATCAGAGACTCTGGGAAAGCAATTTTCTGATACTGATCATGACCTGATAGAGACAGATTCCAAAGATAGGGCCTCCACGCCCCTTAGAAGAGGCACTACAGATTTTCAAGGAGAAAAATTAGAAACCACAAGCTCATTCTCCATCCTGGGTCATCCTCAACTGGTCACCTCACCTGTCGATCAAGAAAAGCATGAGACCCTGAAAAGAGAATTCGCTGATACTGACAATGATCTTACAGAAAGTGTCCCAACAACTGAGGATGGCAGACAGACTTTTCTGCCCCCCACACACGGCATCATAGACGAAGCCAGTCAGAGACAGACTGTACCGGCCAGTAGATCCAGCACAGAGCTGCCCATAATGCAAGCTGGAGTTGGCCGTGAGTCAAGGGATAAGAGAGAGAGTGCCAGTAATAATGTTAACAGGCTTCAGGGCAGTAGAAAGACCTTTCCTGTCACCAATGGGTCGAAGGAGATGTTCAAGGAAGAGGAGAGCTGTGCTCTTCAATCACAAACTAGGAACAACTTGACATCCAGCAAGTCAGGAAGCTGCTCAGTGACAAATGTGAAAACAAGCACATCTCATGAAACTGAAATTTTCCCACCAAGAGTATCAGTTCCCCAAGATCCTAAATCATCATATCTTAAAAATCAGATGCTGAGTCAGTTAAAGTTGGTCCAGAGGAAGGATAGCCAACTTCAGAGCCATTTCACTGACATGTCTCTTGCCTTAGATAACTTGAGTTCCAAGGACTTACTGACTCATCCCCAGGGCATTTCAAGTCGGGACATGGAAACTTCCCAGGTGCTGCATGTCCACTTGGAGGACAGAGGGATCTGTGCGGCACAGCAGCAGGAGCCCAGTGTCCCTACGCATGTCTTACAGAAATGCCAAGTTAAGAATTTTTCACCAGCTACAAAGAGAGTGAGCCCTCTAAGACCCAAGGGAGGAGAGGTTGGTGGAGGGGATGCAGGGTTGGGGACATCCCAATTCAGGAGAAAGAGCCACGTTATTCATAACAAGACATCAAGGGAGTTGCTTGGGAGCAAATCTTCCCCAACCTTGAAAACACAGCCTCCTCCTGAAAACCTTTTCAGAAAGTGGATGAAGACCTTTTTGCAGCGGTTTAATAAACCCAGCATAACATATGAAGATCAAGAAATTTCTCGGGCAAAGGATAGCTCCCTGTCGTCATCTGTGCAGAATAAAGGTCGAGTTAAAAGCAGAGCTGGCTTTACTGGAAGTATTGAAGCTCAGAAAATTAGGAAAGACACTGGGGAGTTCCTAGAAGAGAAGCTGGGGCATAAGCGTGGGATAGATATCACCTGTCCCCAGGAGCCCCTTGCCTCCCCGGTGGAGCTTGGGAAAGCTCAGCACAACCGAGAAGTGCAGTTCACAGCAGAGCTTGTCCAGGGCTATCCCCACAACTACATGGCTCCCTCCTGCAAAGTGACATGTACCAAATCTTACAGCCAACAAGCTATCTTTGTTGGCCAGAATCATCCTACAAGGATTAGACAGAACACAGACAAGGACAGACAGCCTGAGAAAGTTGAGGCATTTAAGGGGAAGATATTGTGTCAAAGGCATCCCCAATCCATGCCCCACAGGAAGCCTATGCCACATTCAAACCCCATTTGTCAGCATCAGGTCAACTTGGTGTGTCCAGCCCTCCCTACCAGTGCTAATAGCAGTGTGTTCAGTGATGTGCCTTTACTAACTGGACAGAAAATGCTTCCGAAGCATTTCCAGGGAGGAAAATTTCCCCCCACAAAATAATTCACTCCTTGTTGGGAATCTTGATTCTCCCCAATAAATGTACTAATAGGAAGGATGTCTTTTATGTGTATTGTGTTGGGGGGAATGTTTTGGGTAACCAAAGCTTGTGGTTAGGGAAAGGTAAGAGTTAGCTCAGCTCTTGCTGAGTCCCTCAGTTGACTTTTAAAAGGTGACTAATCCCCTGGAGCTCTTGTGGAGGAAAGAGTATCATGTGCCTCCAAAAGCCCCTTCTCTCCCTGATGAAGTCTGAGGAGATGAGCTCTTTTCTACTTCTTTGCTTGAGACTTACTGATGCCGTATGGCAGCCTGTACCTTCCTCTCCATTCACTGCTTCATGTGCTTTAGACCCATAAGGAAGTCAGGCCTTCTATATCTGAAGAGAGGGTCAAAGACAGGCACATTTTCCAGAAATAGTGGTTTAATCAGTATTTTAAAAAAGTTGTCACTGACCACAGGATCGTATAAATTGGTGGTAGTGTTTGGGGTATTGCTGTTTGGGGTAGGGTGTCAGGAACACTGTGGATGCTGCTTAAGAATGTGAAAGGCAGGGCATCCTCATGATTTAGGGAAGCACATTTTGACCTTCACTTTGAGGTCTTTCTACTAATAAGTCACTTGGGGAAGTAGTTCCCTTCCCTGTGTATTTCTCCATGCTGCCTGGATTGATGACTTTTTTACAGAGCAAAATATCACCTAGCTGTTTGTGACAGGAATGTTGACCAGACAACCACCTACCTCCTAGGGTAAAATATAGCTGAGAGTAAGGAAAAGATGCCTTATAATGAATGAGAAAGTAAGAAAAAAATGAAGCTAGGAAAGGATGACCGTGGTAGTGGAAAAAGGTTTATGTCCCATCATGCCCATATCAGGACCCTTTGTCAATCTGGATCTAGGCACTACCCCCTTGAGGTTTACCAGGGCACTGCTGACAGATGCCATTTTGGCAGAAGTGTCCATGGGGCTATTGTTTCAGGACTAAAACAGTATCTGCAGGGATGTTGTCAAACATGGCATCCCTCTCTTTAGGGAAGCTGATCTTTGTGCCTTCTTTCTAGCCACATTGATGGCAACATGAAAGATTTCCCCTTAGTGTATATGGTGCACCTATCAGGGTGGAGGTATCCCCTATGATCTTCATGGGCTTAGTGGAATATAATAGATATTACATAGAACACCTGCAGCTCATGATCCAGAGGTGAGTCCTTGACTATGCATGAGGGTTACAGACATTTGGAGGCTGGCTATGAATCTTTACAGAATGCTCCTTATGGCTAAGAGTGTGCACATATATACCCTTAAAATATTAGAGGCCTGAAGAGAAGGCAACTCCACTTATACAGACTGGGACTAATAAATGAGGTGAGTTTTCTAGAGGGCAGTTGAGGTAGGTTTTCCAGAAAAATTTGTGAATGCTTGGTGTGAAAACTAAAGCAAAACAAAACAAAACAGATGTCCACTACAGCTCCATCACC